TCCACATTTCACATTTGCACTGTTAAGGAAATATTGAAAATAAACTTGTCAAAAAAGATTTCAGAGAAGTTTTCTTTAAAAAAATGAGTTTGTTGTGCTTTCAGTGTACTCGCCCCAAAGCGAACATGGGTGGCTCTAAAAAACGCAGTAACAACAGTAAGAGTTAAAAGTAGCAGAAAGGGCAGAAAGTCACTCTTAGAGTTTGTGTGCTTAGCTATTTTAGCAACTGCCCTTTTTCTTTGCCGAGTGGGAGCTGCTGCTCTGGTTTGAGACAGGCTCTTCAGAATCATCCTCATCAAAACCATGAAAAGTTGAGGTGTCGCTTTCAGATGTGGAACCGAACAAGTCCTCCGAAGGATAGGCTGCAGCCGCTTCTTCCTTCCTGCTTTCTCTTCCCAAATGAGCTGACATGTATGATGAATATATCAGCACATGGGTTAAGCAACAGGCATCATGACTTATTTCATTAGTATTACTTTAATCATTATTAGAAATTTCAGCTAAAAGAGGTATCTCGGTCGTAAATATATATGTATATATGTCTGTGTATACATGCACATGCGGGCGCGCACACACACACGCACACACATATATATTCAGGACAATAATGCAAAGCAATAAAATAAAACAGGAGTAATAAGGAAATTATAAACTGAATTGCATTTGACAGATTTTTTTTAAAAAAATATATGCACCACTCCAGATGCCCCAAATCTTAAGGCAGCAAAAGGGTTAATACTGTTTTCCTCTATTTTGAAACCCACAGAAAATATTTTTGTTATTATATGAGTAACTTTATCTTGAGCCCAGAGTTTATATTGTGTATCCATTAAAAGTGCAGGGTACAATGATTGTCTTTCATTTGGTATCAACTGCTCTAATTGTTTTTAGCATAACAACCCATATCATAACTTTTCCATGTTTTTTTTTTAAAATAACCTCATTCTGTTCTCGTCCTGTACCAGTTCTCCTAAGTGGTGTAGTTTCTTTGCAAAATAAAATGGAAAATATTCTCAACAATAAATACATATTGTTTACATTGTAATAAACTGTCTTTGT